CGCGACATCGATGTTGTTCTCGGCCAAACTTGACAAAATAGCGTTTGCTATGCTGATGATGCTATGCTAGATGTTTTTTCAAGGTTGACAAGATACCAGGTGCTTGTGGCATTTCCCCTACCAGTGAGAAAGTGTTCTTTCCAATCTTTATCAGAGTTGCTTAATGGCATAAGAATGACAAGGAAGTTACCTTTGTTCACGGATGCTGTGCTTGTGCTGACATCTCGATGGCCTCCAAGAGAGATGTTCTATTTGCCACACAATATTATGGCACTTATGATTACTCTAGCTACGTTCGTATTTTTGTCAAACATCTCTTGGTTTTGGGTGCAAATTCCTAAATGGCGAGGTTTTCTTCGGTTTTTAGGCACTTTGAACTGACGCAACGCCGGCGTCGAGTGCCCTTTGATGACATTGCATTTTGTGATGATGCTTAAGTGCTCCATCTTTACCAGAGGGTTTTTCCAGTTTTTGGAATGGTGCTGTTACAAGTGTTTTTTTTTTCTGTGCTGGAGGATCCGATGGGGTTATCATGCATCACGCAATATTTACAAAAAACTTCCCATTTGAGAAGAGCTATATACAGGCCACTTACACATTTCTAACCATGGGGGCTGGAACACGAGCTTCTTAGAATGCTTATCTTTTCCATTAACCGGCACAATCTTGGAGAAAAAAATTTGATTATGAAGGAGGCCGGCTAAAATGGTTTTTTAACGTATTGAATTTTTTCAGAGTTCTCGGATCGACTTTGCCACTAACGATGTCTCCGACATCAAAGTATGGTACGACATGCTGATCAGTGGAAGAAACTTGGGAAACACCAAAGAACAAAGCAGGTACTTTAGTGCTAAGTCGTCAAATTAAAAGTGCAATTTATCGTTTTCAACTTTCTAGATAGTTCTCTGTGGATTTTTAACAGTTATGATATAAAAACTCAACATAAGCTAACGTTTATTAAATCGACTTTTGAAAAATGCTTCTTAACTGTCTGAGCCATTTAATGAAGTATTGTTGACAGTAATATCAAATTCGCTTGCTAAGGATAAAAATTCTGATCACTCTTCAGTATTAAGGTCTATGTTGAGAAACAAAAGCTGGCAAAGTTTTTTTTCAAGTAATTTTAAAGATAGCTTGTTTCCTTTCATACCAAGGAAAACAGATTCGACAGCGGAAGTACACACTGGAAGAGCTCGCGCTCAGAAACAATCATCCCGTTAAGAGAAAGGAAGGTTAGTTTTTTACAAAAAGAAATTGGGGATATGTTCTTTAATGCAAAACAATCGTTGACGGTCCAATACTCAAACTGACGCATGCCTTGTAAGAAAGAAAGGTTAGATATCGACTGGCCCGACAGATTTACATTTTTAAGTCCATGAGACGAATGAACTGTAGCTTGTGGCTCCTTGAATGGATTTTGCTTTACTTTAATATAAGCAACTGAGAAATATCTAAAACCTATTGTGTGCTTCGTGATTGTCTCTAAATGCTCGTCACTTGGATAAGAGATGCCCCACTCATCAAGGCAGACGGTGCTTCACAAAATGTTACCTACAGAGACAAGTCTCCATCTTCTGCATACGAGCCTTAACTTGTTTTTAATCTCTTAAATACTTAAATACTTGAATACAACACAAAGAGGCTCATCTGGCAAAGTTGTGATGAGAAAAATTAAAATGTTTGAATTATGGAGCTTAAGCTGTGATGAAACTGGAAATTTTTGAGGGGAGACCGCTGTCGGAAGATTGAAAGAACGCTTTGAGAAAATTAGAAA